TGCACGTCTTTATAGCACTACGAAAACCATCGACCCCGACATTTTGATTTCCCTAATTATTGAAGAAGCCGAGCGTCGTAATCGCAAAGACGGCCGTCTTCAACGTGGGGGCACCCCCTCCCGCCAAGGTGGTGGAAATGAGGCAATGGCCTTAACGGACGTGTCCCACCGTGGACGAGGCAATTTCCGCGGAGGAAATCGAGGGTCGAATCGAGGTAGAGGTAATGGTGGCCGTCAACGCCCACCATGTTGGAATTGTGGCTCGCGTGAGCATTTTAAAGCCACTTGCCCCGAGCCGGAGAAAACACCTGGAAGCAACTCAGTCAATAGAGGATCCGCAAATGCTGCGGACGATGAAGACTCGGAAGACGACGCAGTGTTCGCCGTTGAGTGCTTCAGTGACCACGAGTCCTCGTGTTCAATCCCGAACCTCCTTTCCATTGAATCGTCAGATGACGACGCTGAAGAACGAGCCAACTTCATTGTCAGCGATGAAGACTGGTTTTCGGACATCGACGAAAACGACTCACCATCACTCAGTGACTGGGAGTCAGCAGCCCCCAACAGTGGAAGCGACACAGAAACCTTTGTCGAAGTCGCTGCTGAAGTCGTCAGCAGGCATGAAGACGACACCGTTGTCGAACTCTATGACTCGGGTACAACAAGACATATCTCCCCATATCGTGACCAGTTCACAACGTTAACCCCCATCCCACCCAAAACGTTTGCAGCCGCAAATAAGCAGCGCTTTGACGCTACTGGGATTGGAGAATTAGTTATTGAAGTCCCCAATGGTGTTGACGTGACCAAGTTGACACTCACCGAAGTACTTTACTCCCCCGCTGTCGGATATACCCTTGTATCAATAGGCCGCCTTGACGAGCTCGGATACTCCATCACTTTCGCGGACGGCACCTGCGTCATCCGAGACCCTAAATCAGACATTATCGGGCAGATTCCCAAGTCTGGGCGCGGGTTATATAGAGTCGTCCACGAACCAGACGGACATAGTGCAAATGCCACAGTTGAAACAATCACTGTGATGGAACTTCACAAACGAATGGGCCATATTGCCCCATCCGTTGCACGCCGTTTGGCTGAAAACGGACTTGTTTCTGGAGTCAAAGTCGATCTGTCATCCGGCGAGACCACTTTTTGTGAGTCCTGCGTGTACGCCAAGGCGACACGCAAACCCGTAGCCAAAGTTCGTGAAGGGGAGCGAGCCACAGAATTTGGAGGCGAAGTCCATACGGACGTATGGGGACCAGCCCCCATTGCTACCTTGGGTGGCAGAAGATACTATATCAGCTTCACCGATGACAAGACGAGGCTTACATACCTTCATCTTCTGCGACGCAAGAGTGAAGCCTTCACTGCCTATCTTGACTTCGAAGCTTGGTGCCGCACTCAACATGACGCTGATGTCAAGGTTCTCCATTCGGACCGTGGTGGGGAATATCTGAGCAAGAACTTCGTTGATCATCTCAAAGCAGCCGGTACGAAGCAAAAACTTACTGTTCATGACACTCCACAGCATAATGGAGTGGCGGAAAGGCTCAATCGTACCCTGCTAGAGAAAGTTCGTGCAATGCTGCACAATAGCGGATTGCCGCGATCGCTGTGGGGAGAAGCTGTCCGCCATGCTGTCTGGCTGAAGAATCGGACCCCCACTAAAGCTCTTGAAGGTGGCACACCTCTAGAAGCTGCTACGGGCAAGAAACCAGATCTTCGACGAGTCCGTCCCTGGGGATCTCATGTCTGGGTACGTGTCGAAGAAGGGAGCAAGCTCAGCGGCCGAGTCGCTGAAGGCCGGTGGGTAGGTGTCGATGATGGTAGCGAGAACGGATGCAGAGTATATTGGCCTGCCAAACACTCAGTGTCCGTGGAGCAAAATGTCTATTGGGATCCGTCCAACGTTAAGCCGTTACATCGCGAGGGAGAGGAAACTGATATTGTACCTAACGCGATGATAACTTCTTCAACATTGACCCCACCAGCGACACCCAGCACACCCATACCAGCCCCTCAAACCCCAAAGGCCCAACCTCCTTCAAAGATCCCTATCCTTGCGACTTCGCCGATACTTGACCTAGTCGCTAAACGAGTTAGGAAACCGAGTCAGCGTGTGCTCGATATAATAAATGAAACAGGTACTGTACCCAGAGGAATCCAGTTACCCAGCGCCACGCCCCGATCCATCGAAGAAGCAGCAAATGAGGGAGAGAACACTGTAGAACAGCTTATGGCCATACTTGAGGACTCAGACGATGAACTATGTTCTCTCGACTACGCTATGGCGATCGGAGAAAGAATCGCAGAGGCAGAAGCCCTCGAACCGAGCACGTTAGCCGAGGCAAAGCGTCGCCCTGATTGGGCGCAATGGGAGGAAGGAATAAGAGAAGAGTTAGCAACCTTGAAAGCGGCAGGGACTTGGGAACTTACAGACTTACCTGCTGGAGCTAACCTCATAGGCTCCAAATGGGTATTCCGCGCGAAGAAAGACGCTGCGGGCAATGTGGTACGCCACAAAGCTCGTCTCGTAGCCCAAGGATTTTCCCAAGTGCCCGGTGTCGATTTCTTCGACACATATGCACCCGTCGCGAACCTTTCCTCCATTCGAACCGTTCTCGCTTTATCCGCACGCTTGAATCTAGAGCTACACCAAATAGATATCAAAGGCGCATATTTAAATGGTAAACTCACTGACGAAGAGGTTATCTATATGCGACAGCCCCCAGGCTTCGAATCCGCCGAACACCCGAATCAAGTCTGTCGCCTCCGAAAAACGTTGTATGGTTTGAAGCAAAGCGGCCGACGCTGGTACCAACGACTCGTGGAGATCTTGGTGCAGAAGCTGGGCTTCATGCAATGCGCTGTAGATCAAGCCGTTTTCTACAGGCGAAAGAGGAGTGAGGAGCACACCATTGTCGTAGTGCATGTGGATGATTGCACCATCGCGGCGAAAACGAGAGAAGAGATAAGTGAGCTAAAGGATCAGATTAGGAAACACGTGGAAATCACCGACCTCGGCGAACTCCATTGGTTACTCGGAATCGAAGTAACACGTAATCGCGACGAACGCACCATTTCCTTGTCCCAACGATCATACATAGACTCCATCATTCGTCGATTCAGCCTCGACGATCTCAAACCCGTCTCGAATCCTATGGAGCCAAGCGCTAGGCTCCATTCAGGCCAAGCACCTTCCACAGGCGCCGAATTCGCGGCTATGCGACACATTCCCTATCGAGAAGCAATCGGTTCTCTTATGTATGCGTCACTAGGTACGAGGCCAGACATATCCTACGCAGTAACGACAGTCTCGCGCTTCTCTGGGAACCCAGGAATGGCTCATTGGGATGCGGTTCGGCGCATCTACAGATACCTTCTGGGAACAAAGGAGTTGAAGTTGACTTATGGAGGAGTGGAAGGGGCATTAATTGGGTACGCAGACGCGGACGGAAGTATGGCTGAGGACAGGAGAGCTATCTCGGGATACGCCTTCCTTATCGACGGTGGAGCGGTCTCCTGGTCCTCCAAACGACAGAGTATCGTTTCTCTTTCTACCACAGAAAGCGAATATGTCGCAGCGACTCACGCGACAAAAGAGGCTTTGTGGCTTCGTTCGTTGATCGGAGAACTATTCACGCCCATAACCACGCCAACCACACTCTTTTCTGACAATCAATCCGCAATTGCCCTTGCTAAAGATCACCAGTACCACGCACGAACCAAACATATCGACGTCCGTTTCCATTTCATACGCTGGGTCATCGACAACGACAAACTACGACTTATCTACTGCCCCACCGCAGATATGATCGCCGATACCCTAACTAAGGCTCTACCATCGCCAAAAGTTAAACACTTTGCCATCGAACTCGGACTGCGCTCACCTTGAGGGAGAGTGTTGGAAATAGGCAAGTGTGCCCGCAGCCGAGGCACGTCACCATTCCCTATTGTTTCTATTCGTTATGCGTGTCGACCCGTACGTTTTTATTTCATGCGCTCTTGTTATTCACTTTTCCACTATTGTGCGTACTGAAGCCTTTTGTGCGCTATGGCCAGCGCCGTCTCTCGCATTGTCCTATGTTTTACTTACTTACAAGAGCATTCTAGCTATTTAGCTATATTCGTTTCGACTCGTTACCTCAGACGTTTGCCCTCGCGTGCACGATCTGAGGTAAGATACTTAGTTCTTCATTTATTTCACCTTTACTCATATTGTGCAGAGTGTCTGTCTACTACAGGTGAATACACAGACGTTTGCCCTCGCGTGCACGATCTGAGAGTGTCTGTCTACTACAGACCCGCACGATTCTATTAATCTTTTAAGCACAGGCGTGTTCCAATCCATCCACGTCCCTACCCTAGCTAGGTCCTAGGAACAACGCGAGTAGAGCTCGGCATTCACATCAACCGCATGATACATTTATGGTCGCACATTTTGCATCGGTTTTCATTAGCGTTGAGGGTGTGCGTTGGCAACTGTTGGCAAGTGTGTTATCTTGTTCAAATCTCGGACTTTTCTGATGGCGTGCCAACAGAGTGTAACCCCCTTCAGCCCTGGGATATCACAGATGCTGCTGAGGGTCATATAAATAATACTTATCACCATCAAGATCCACAAAATCAAGCTGTACAGCACAAAGAACAACAAGTCGGGCTTCATCATACGGCCATAACCGTGTGTTCGACTGTTCTTTTCGCCCATGTCGTCTCTCAGTGCTGTCTTGATCTAGAGATTGCTTGTATCTCCATCAGATATCAATCACAGAATTTTAACTAGGTTGTCCCTAACCGTGAAACCTGATGCTTGTCACCACTGCACCAACTCCATGATGCAAATAGAAGATTCTGTGCTAATCATTTTCGACATCCACATAAGTTCAAACGTGACATCATATCTATTGACAGGAACGGATATCATCCCTCGATCTCATTTTGGCCATGCAAGCACTGGATGGTGGTGGTATATCTAGCACGAATATCATCGTCGTATGTCCACCAAGTTTCCCGCTCCTTCACATCCATCCTCTGACAGTATGACTCTAGTCTCTGACGACCCTAGTTATTGGCCACTCATCAACTCTTTTCGTATTGACAGCTATTTCATAGGTTCGTGAAGAGCAACCAGATTTCGGCGCTCATGTCTCGATCTGACCTTGACTGTGGTTTCCCAGTTGCCGCCTTTGTTGCAGTGACATATGATTGGGGTGAGCGTCATAACATTACAGAATTGCTGATTTCCTACAAGTATTTACAGTCCTTACGTTCGGACAAGAGGTATGTTGATCCTATGACCGGAGCATCCATCTCGCTAAGATCTGTTTGTAGGTCGAACTGGTCTGGGTGAGCACAGTTCCACGTCAGAAGAACAATATTGATTTGCGACAGAGGCAACGTTGGTCCCTGATGGCCATTCTCTATCTGAGCGTATGTAGCTTGCCTGCTCTGAATTTGTGCTGACTTGACAATATCCTAGGTGCGCTATCTTGGAGTATTATTTGTCATGTATGTTCAGAAGGCTTGACAATCGGTGTCGTACTAATCTTTTATCTCTCACAACCAGCATGAACATACTAAGTAAGTCTTCTCGCATTCACCGCGTTTGTTTCTTCTGACCAGTGGCACACAGCCAGTGCTCCGACGATTTCGTTGACAGATGCAGTGAGTCTTTTGCACTGATGCCTGCTATTCCCTTTCAATTAACCCCGACACCCTGTAGGGGTGAGTGTCATTCTTGACCAGCTTCTTCGTTTACAATCATGATTGCTACAGATGTGAGTCTTTTTGTGGTGTGTGATCCACCCAAGGCCCATCACTCACCAGATTTCTCAGGCCGGATTCTGTACCTCGTGTGGAATTGGACGAGTGTTGTGGCATTTCCAATGCTGTGTGGTGAGTTGTGCAGTTACGAGACCTATGATATTGACTTGACCGAAACATGTCGCAGTCATCATGATCACACGGTTACATACCATGTATCAACGATCCAGAAGGATCCTGATATTTCTCGTCGTCGTGTCCTTGGCAGTCAACATTTTCGACGTAGCGGCCACTGTAATGGCAACGAGGGATATTTCAGGGGGTACACTTAATTGTGAATGAAAAACATGCATGAGGCTCATTGATCAATACCAGAGGAACTCATTCTCTCTGGCGCCTATGTGTGCACGATTTACAATGTGGACAATTCCATACTAAATTCCATGACTTGGATACTCGGCGCTGTCTGGGAGGTCCTCGCACTGTGTCTCGCAGTCTGGACTGCTGTAAAACACTTCCGTGAACTGCGACAACATTCGGCAGGAGGGATTATCGGCGACTGTTTTACGGTGTTGATCAAATCCCACGTGCTTTACTTTGCGAGGTGGGCTCATATTGTGAATATGGTTCCCTTTTCCGCTGAATGATTGAACGTGCTAGTTATGTTGCTGTGTCTTGCTTCTACCTCATTATTTATTTGTTTCCAACGCTCTTCATGGTATCTCAATCTTTCACTGACCTCTGCATGCGACCGCGGTTCATCATTTCTATAGGACGTATTTTCCTTCAAAACTCAGATTCTTATTGGTGTTCTTCAGATTTTGGAAGCCATACAGTTCTTTGTGTTGGGACCACGCCTCATCCTTAGCGTTCGAGAATATCACGCTCGGCTCGTGGCTGATTCTGATGCAGCAACCGGCATGATCTCAATCGCTTTCCAGGAGCGCGTGCAAATATCAACTGGCAGTGGCGTGTAGCACGGGAGATGCTCGATGAAGTTAACGGTAATCTGGTGCTATGCAGGGAGTAGGAGAATTAGCTTTTTTTACAAGTTTTGTTGTGGTACTTATTATTTGGTGTTGCGAAGTCGATTTCAAGGAGACATGGGTCTTGGCACATATTTCGTTGTAATATGTATTTAAGTTATTTTTTTCGAAGAGCGTTGACGGAGACAGGACAAGGTGTTCAGTCAGACCTAGGCCACTACATTATTTTTCGCATTTACGTTCGCAGACTGAAGTCCCCAGGCCGAGTTAGCGAGGCGAAGACGCTGTCGATTTCGTTCGGAAGACCTGACTGGTGTTTCTTAGTCACATCCTTTTGCACAGAACGAGAAGTTATAATTTGCGAGGCTGCCCAAAGGGAAAGGGGCTGTCATTCACAACTTACAAGCATCTGGGGATGCAAGGCCCACAGTGATTGCCGCACGACTTGAATCTTTGTTCCTTCGCCACCAACTGTAGGAACGCTTGTGACATTCAAGCTTGTCATAGACCGTGCTTGCAGAAAGGAAGTTGATGGTCAAGACAATGCTACTAGGACTTTAAGCTCCATGCATCGCCATTGACAAGTCCTCTTTGACACGCGACTTTTGGAGAAACCTTCCCTCTCATCGATGCTGGGGATACAGACGTAGCCAAGTCGTTCTTGAAACGATTTTGGGATTCCTGAGCGCGGTGCCTCAAGAAGATGTCGACTTCACCTTAGAAGATCACTAGTTTCAAGTGCACGCGCTTAGAACCATGTGTGTTTTTCATACGCAAACAGTAGCATGGGGTACAAACGTGTCTTATGTGTGGAGATTTACGACAAGCCATAACTCGCCGACTCCACTCCAAGCTAACAGAAGGATGATAATCAGAGGGGGCGCTGAGAGGGCCTAAGGGGTGATGAAAGGACGAAAGGATGGAGAAATGGGTATAGAGCGCCGAGACAATCTGGGGTGCATATTCTTCTAGGGCGACCATGTGTCGGGGCCAAGCATTGAGGAGACGAAGTCGAAATCCAACAATAAACTGCGACCAAGTTATGTTGCTCGATAGTATGGAGGTGCTTCATATGTCAGGGGTATAATACAGGAACGTGTGGGGAGGTGTCGAAGCGAGATGTTGAAATGCCGTGATAAGAATAGAGGATGAAAGAAACGAAATGAGGGGTGATTTGAAAGATTGTGGAAGGTATCAGGAAAGAGTGATGACGTTCGGACTATAAATAAGGAGAGGTGGGACATAGAAGGTGCGTCCGCAACCTGGTAGAAAGAGCGACAGTGGTTGGAATGCCAAGGGTTGGAGTGAAATTGAAAAAAAAAAAGGATGGCAAACAGAAGATGCACCCGTCATCCGGTAGAAAGAGCGGCGGTGGTTGAACTAAATGAATGACGATAGTTGGAACGAGGTTCAACGATGTTATGCCGCACTGCCGAGCTGGACCAGAGGCGTCGATGGTTTTGCTTGGAACGTCCCATGTGAAAGAAAAATGAATGCATGTGCAGCTCAGCCAGAAGAACAAGCGTGGATGTATTGTGAAGGAGAGGTTGGGAAGGTAAGGGTAGAATGGCGGGGATGGAACAGGGGAGTGCAGAAGATACTTGGAGAACGGAAAGGACGTCCAGCTGGGAAGGAGGGAAGGCCAGTCAAAAAGAAATCGGTGACCAGATAGAGATGAGGATGAAAGGAGAAAAAGCCTTTTTGCTCACCGACACAACCGATATTAGGCTTTATTACATTCCTGAAGAAAGATGTACAAATATGACTTTGGTTGACCAACGGCGCGCAACATCGGCATTTTCTGTGTTCGTACGAGAATTACGAGAATGCAAATGCAAAAGTGCGAGTAAGAGAATCGTCCGCGACTCAGATGGTGTGCTCAAAGTTCCAGAGCATAAAGCCTGAGGGGAAGAAGGTTCTGTGCTTGAACAAACATCCTCAAGTATTTCGAGCGTGGCCGCTTTCGATTCTGAGCACATGGACAGCCATGATCGTATAATGAGGTTCACATCATGGGTGATTCGTTGGACGGCACGATGTGCAAGTGGAACTATGACACTGGATTTCTTGTAGGAGAACCATGGATAGGTGAGGGGGGAAGGATATGGGCAATGGCACTTTCACCGGAAGGAAAGAAATTGTGTGCGGGAGGGAAGACGGAAGCGTTCAGCGACGGAAGACCGACAGATGGATGATCGAAGGCATGTGGGCGCGTCATAGTTGGAACGTGCGGTCACTGTCGTGGTCTCCCAGTGGATATTACATTGCGAGCGGGTCCGAGATGATGGAACAATCCTTGTTCGAAATTTTGAAAAACAGAAAGCAAAGAAATCGAGGTGGGCCCAAGACGGAGTAGCAATGTATGTGGTCTTGCATATTCACCGTCAGGCGACAGAATAGCATGAGGCGGAGGTCAAACGACCTGAATTTGGAACACTAAGACAGGCGAGCTGCTTGCCGGTCTTATCGAAGACTGGGGGAACAAGTACGGTGTGGTCGTCGGCCAACACGAAACTTTACTCTGCCTCGAACAAATTCGCACGTTTACAGTCCTTTCGGAAAGTCTTGACTCACGTGTTCGAAATGGTTCAAAATAGTGGGCTCAGGTAAATTGCCGCATCACTGCCACAACTTGCCGCACCCTACCGCACCACTGTCGCACCCATACCAAATCATAAGTACTACACTTATTTTCGGCCTGCACTGTTCTCGTGCACCAAAAAATGAACTAGGAGTGTTTCTCGTCCGACTCCTTAATTATCCACTTCACACTAATGCATTTGAGAGTCTGAATTCAGAGAACAATTTTGAGTATGTTGCGGCACGGATGTGGTACTGAGTGCGGCAGACATGTCCCTGGTGCAGCTAAACGAATTATCAATTGGCTGAACTGTGCTACATATGCACATGCTTGCACTATCGTAGTTTCGAAGCGCAAGAAAAACTTACTCCAGGAGCCAGCCCAAAATATCCTCGTTGAACGTCGCTCGTCAGGACCTGACGTGAACTCAGTTCCTACTCCCGAAGAGCAAGAAAACACGATGCTCCAGGCTGCCTGGCTTGACCTCCAACTCAGCTATGATCTGACCTCGATGGATATAGACGTCGACTTGGAGTGTCTTGGCATACTGGAACAGCAGATGTTCGAGCTCTCGTTGGCTGCAGGAGCTGCAGGAAATGAACAATGGGAAAAAGATGCTGGTGCACACCAAGACCGATGGAATCCCTATGAGGGCCACCCTGAGCACTGGAATCATGGCGACCGAGATTCATACGCACCAGAATTTGAAGGAGAAGTAGACGTGCGTCATCATCGCTTTTCATCGCGGATCAGTCTGACATGGTTCGACTAATAGTGTGGACCGAACTTTAGCGAGGGAAGTGAGCCCGACATAGTTAAGAAAGAGAAACACACCAAAAAAACCAAACCGCGGCCACGACCAAGGAAGATACACAAGGCTTCATAGGCTGAGGCCTCGTAGTAGTAGTTTGTACTCTGAAATGAACGAGACTCAGTTTGCAAGGACAAAAGGCCACACATATATGACATACATACCTTAAAGCCCCGGTATCCGTTTGCACAGGTTGCTGCAGAACGTGGTAGAGGAGATGTGTGACAGTGAAGTCAGGCAAGGCATGCAACCAGCAAAGACAGGTGTTGAATGATAGGCGGAGGCATCGAGGCGCCAAACCTGACAGGCGCGAGCCTGTGTGAGGGGTTGTTGAGTCTTCTCACCAAGTTTCGCGCAGCTGCTCATAACGGTGCTGCAAGTGGACTTGATAAGAAGGGTGGTTTGGTGTCGGTGCAGTGGTGCGGTAGTGCACAGCCACTGCCGCACCCAACAACAGAATTGCCGCACCGTGCCGCATCACTACCGCATCACTGCCGCACCCATCAAGTACATATATCACTGTAGTACCACTGTTAGCCTTACACAAACACCTGGAATATAGTATTACTTATTCTTAAATCATATTTCAGACAGTTGCGTACGACGTAGACGTATTGTAGAGGCATATAAGACATTATTGAGTAGGGTGCAGCAGGGTGCGGCACAGATGCGGCAATTTCCTAAGGCCCCAAAATAGTGAAAATGTCGAAAATTCATTTAAATCACTTTCAAGTTTTGTATGCCTCTGAACGGCTTCAAAAACATCATATTTCACAAGTTTCTCACTCAGACTCGTCATGGTCTACCAGAGGACCAGGTTTGATCGGAAAGAACGAGCCCTGTGCCTGCTTTTGGAGGAAGGATGGGACATCGAGCGCATTGCTGTTGCTCTCGGAATATCGTCAAGAAGTATAGAGCGGTGGGAGGCAAATTATGATGAACATGGACGTATTAACCCTCCTACACCAATCATGGGTCGCCCTCGCTTGTTGGATCAAGTTATGACAGACGAGATCCACGAGCTGCTAGCCGAAACCCTGTCACTGCTACTTGACGAGATCGGTGAATGGCTCGCCATATACCACGATCAGCCAATATCGACGACAGCTCTCCACGAACACCTCAGGGACCTTGGTCTCACCTACAAACGCTTGAGAAGGGTCGCGGCCGAACGTGATGACGGTTTCCGAGCTGATTGGTTGCACAACATGACAACCAACTATACAGCTGAGCAGCTTGTGTTCCTGGACGAGTCAAGCAAAGATGACCGCACCACACTCCCTAGATATGGTTGGTCACTCAGTGGACAAGCCCCCTTTGACAGTGTCCGCTTGAACAGGGCATTCGATACAGCGTGCTGCCGGCTCTCACCATTGACGACTATATGACTGTCCGAATCGTTGAGGGATCTATAGACGGCGCAGAGTTCTACGATTTCGTTGTCAACGACGTAGCAAGTATATCCTTTTCAGCGTCTGAATCATCAATAGATTCATCATCAGAGTGTTATGAATGAGAGGCATCCTCCTCATCGGAGCATTCAGTTACTGTATTAGACATAATCTAATGTTCAAAAGAATGACAGATATGCTTTTCTGCTCGACTTTGAAGGAGAGTTTGCTGGATTTTCGATTTATTTGAATTTTCAACATTTCTACTATTTTTGAACCATTTCGAACACGTGAGTCAAGACTTTCCGAAAGGACTGTAACTCGGGCACAGAACTCCATCGCTTCAGACACAACAATTTAGTGAATTCCGTCGCACTTTCACCCAAACACAGTACTATACTGGTGTGCGTGGGTTATTCTGGTATTGAGAAGTGATGGGACACAGAGCCCCATAACTGACCCAGACAGTCATTAAGCCAGGAGGATTGCAACACCCTTTCGTGTATCGTTCTCTCGGGATGGAAGATACATCGCATATAGTAGAGACGATAGCAACATCGCTTTGTGGATGTAGCTCCTGATCGTGCTTTTACACCAATGCTTTTTTTCAAGGTGACAAGCTACACATGTACAGCAGGGCACTTCGCCAAGTTGCCGCCACCGCCTTGCCTTGACGTCAGTTCGCATTCGACTACTTTCCGTTGACGCTACAAATCCTCTCACAGAAGATTCAGAGGGTGGAGAAGATCCATACAGCGGCTTTTTTCAGGTAAGCCTCGTGTTTCGTCATGCAAATGGTACCATTGTTGATAAACATTCGAAGGCTCATCATGCATCGGTACCATCAGGTCCCTCTTCTCGTTCCCAGCGTCCTCATGCTTCCTCTGCTCGCCGCCTCTGGAACTTCCTCTCGATATCGTCCTACTGCAAGGGGGTCTATTGCGATGCAACAATACTCCAAACGCCGTCTCTTCCGGAACAAAAAAAGGTAAGTAGTGTATTATGTGTTCCTCGTTGTGCTGTATTTATACATTATCCAATCTTTAGAGAGTCTACGTAGCGCCTCCCCCTGTGAAGACTAACTTGAAATCTCAGACTGGTCAGTCGCCCTCAGCAGTAGCTCAGGCACAGACGGCGACACAACAACCTACTCAAGAAGACCAAGATTGTTGGGCAATGTTTGCCTCGCACTTTGGTGTATCACCTTTGGTAGTGACTGATCTTTGGATACCCGATTTATGCTAACTCTCATGATCTGGAGGCTCTGCGTTCTCGAGTCTTGATCTTTAGTGGGTGTTCTGGGGGTGTTGAGGTACTATGTAGTCCTGGTAGTAATTGGCTCACGTGAGATATTGACGGTATTCCATACCAGGCTACCCTACGAACAACGAATGAAGAAGTCGACTTCATCACTCCAATCGACATCGATTCATTTCGCATCGGGCTTCGTTGTATTCAACGTGGAAGGTGTGCGCTGCGCGAGGACGTGAATGCTTCTTATGGATGTTCGCGGTGAGCTTCTCAGGTCGTCTGATGCGGTTCACAAGGTGTGCTTTCCCATCCAATTGATGCAGTCAGGTGCTTCCCACTCTTCATTCCCTCATGTCGCTATCTTAAGCTGGAGATGGTGTTGTATCTACACCAGATATCAATCATGGAATCTCAACTGTGATGTCTCTGGCTGTGAAACCTGGCGCCCGCCACCACCCCACCAACTCCACGGTGCAAATCGAAAATTCTGCACCGACATTGACAGCATGTGAGAATAGTATTGGAACCAAGGTGACGAAATCACGAACAGTTCTATGTATATGTTCTTTCATCTTTTGCGGTATTTAAGTTCCGCCTGTGCAAATGTGTTATGACCAACTGGTTCTACGTACGTACCACGTTCCCCGCTCCCTCACACCCACCTTCTAACATCATGACACTGATCTCAGACGACCCTAGTTATTGGCCACTCATCAACTCTGGGCGTGTTTCCAGCTATTTTATAGGTTCGTGAAGAGCAGTCAGATTTAGGCGCTGATGTCTCAATCTGACCTTGATTGTGGTTTTCCAGTTGCCGCTGGTGTTGGAGTGGCGTATGATTGGGGTGGGCATAATAACATTTGAGAATTGTTGGTTTCTCACGAGTATTTCCAGCCCTCACCTTCGGACAAGAGGTATGTTGATGCTATGACCAGAGCAATCATCTCGCTAAGATTTGTTTGTAGGTCGAACTGGTCTGGGTGAGCACAGTTCCATGTCAGAAGAACAATATTGATTTGCGACAGAGGCAACGTTGGTCCTTGATGACCATTCTCTATCTGAGTGTACGTAGCTTTCCTGTTGTGATTTTCTACCGACTTGACAATATCCTAGCTGCGCTATCTTGGAATTTTATATATTGTGTATGTTCAGAGGGCCCAACAATTGGTATCGTGCTAATCAGCCATTTCTCACACTCAGCCTGAACATACTGGGTATGTCTTTTCGCATTCACCGTGTTTATTTCTTCTGACAAGTTGCATACAGGCAATGTTCCGACGATTTTGTTGACAGATGCAGTGAGTCTTCCGCACCGATGCCTGCTATTCCCATTCAATTAACCGCGACGCATTGTAGGGGTGAGTGTCATTCTTGACGAGCTTCTTCGTTTACTATCATGACTGCTTCAGATGTGAGTCTGTTTGTAGTGTGTGATCTCCTCAAGGCCCATCACTAACAGGATTTCTCAGGCCTGATTCTGTACTTTACGTGGGATTGGACGACTGTTGTGGCATTTCCAATGCCGGGTGGCGAGTTGTGCAGTTACAAGACATATGATATTAACTTGACCGAAACATGTTGCAGTCATCGTGATCGCTCGGTTATATGCCATGTATCAACGATCCAGAAGGATCCTGATATTTCTCGTCGTCATATGCTTGGCTGTCAACATTTTTGACTTAGCGAACGCTGTAATGACAACGAGGCAAACTTCAGGAGGTACACTTAATTGTGAATGAAAACCGTGCATGGCGCTCATTGATGAATACAAGAGGAACTCATTATCTCTGGCACCAATGCGTGCATGATTGTCTATACGGACAATTTCTCTCCTCTGTTTTCCATTACTTGGATACTCGGCACTGTCTGGGAGGTCCTCGCGCTGTGTCTCGCAGTCTGGATTGCTGTAAAACACTTCCGTGAACTGCGACAACATTCGGCAGGAGGGTTTATGGGCGACTGTTTCACGGTGTTGATAAAATCCCACGTGCTTTACTTTGCGAGGTGAGCTCATATTGTGAATATTGTTCCCTTTTCCGCTGAATGATTGAATGTGCTAGCTTTGTTGCTGTGTCTTGCTTCAACCTCATTATTGATTTGTCTCCAACGCTCTTAGCGGTATGGAAATCTTTCACTGACCTCTGCATACGACCGCGGTTCATCATTTCTATAGGACCCATCTTCCGTCGAAACACAGATTTTTCTTGGTGTTCTTCAGATTTTGGAAGCCATACTGTTCTTTGTGCTCGGACCACGCCTCATCCTAAGCGTTCGAGAATATCACACTCGGCTCGTGGCTGACTCTGACGCAGCAACCGGCATGACCTCAATCGCTTTCCAGGAGCGCGTGCATATATCAACTGGCAGTGGTGTGTAGCACGGGAGATGCTCAATGAAGTTAATGGTAATCTGGTACTGTGCAGGGAGCAGGAGAATTAGCTTTTTTTCTTGATTTACAAGTTTCATCGTTGTACTTATTTATTTGGTGTTGCGCAGTGCATTTCAAGGAGACAGGGCCTCGCAAATATTTTTAATATGCATTCAAGTTATTTGTTCCGAAGAACGTTGAAAGAGACGTGACGAGGCGTCGAGTCAGACCAGGATAATCATTATGGAGAAGAAGAAATCGGCGTGGCATAAAAATCAATCTTTGGGTCTAATATTGGTGCACGCGCATGAGGAGGTTGAACGTTGACATTGGCATTGAATTGAATCATGGCATAGCTAGTAAGTACCGGCGAGGATATCTGAAATTCATGAAAATGTTGAGTTCCGACAGCGCAGATCATAATTGACAGTCCGGACCCTGATGAAATTAGTGTTGTGCATTTAGCAATCAGTTTTCGTCAGTCACCCTAGTATGGTGGATGTTTGGTTACAGTTCGACTTCCCGAGATGCCGCACGGATTTTCAATGTCCGATTGCTGTTTGGTTTCAGTAATATTGTTTCTTCGTGTATATCCCTAATTATATTCTACTAGAGCGATTTTGTACAGAATGGCAATCCAAATTCCAATCTAAACTCCTCAGCGGTCCAGAGGGGGTTGTAAGTTGTGAATCCGACGTCCGTGGTTCATTGTATCAATATATCTTCTCATTGAACCACTGACGCAGGCTGGCGCTTCAAGGCTTGCTCTAATGCCCAACCCGCAAGGCAAAAACGGGAGAGGTGTTGTTAGTCGTAAGTGTATTTGAAACTGGGTTCAGTTAACTCAATCACACTGGCGCTAATTACTTTGCAGCTCCAGATGCAATAAGACCGCTTGTAGAGCAGTATGTCGTAGCTGCCCAGTATCATCTTGGCCGTATGGCGCCACTAAGATCCAAGTCAGTACAAGTCAATGATGAAATACCTAGTACCCGGTTCTCACGTTGCTTGTCATCACCGATGAACACCATCTTTTGGAGGCTGAGCTCGAAACGCTGAAGCAGCGGCACGTAGTCTCCCACTTCGATTTGACTTGCCTCGCCAAATATCACGGTTTGTACCGGGACAAGACGAGCAATGGTATCGATATTGGGATTGGACAGCGTGCTCAACGTGCAAAGTATGACTCTTGTGTCGAGCAAAAGTCAACTGATTTCGACGACCGAGCCACCAGTCATAATGGAAGTCCTTGGATACAAGAAGCTTGGCGTGGCGAGAAGAGCCTTTGATGCGAGAGACGCAGGGAATGTCAGGAGATGGCAAAGTGTTCATGACGAGTGCCGGGCGAGTACATGCTAGCTAGACCGCTCTTTTGAAACGGCAAGGTGAAACATAAATAATAGCGGCGTCAGCTATCGATTACTGAGAGACAGGAATGAAGAGCACGATCATTCGGATGGAGATTCAAAGTTGTGCTACGGATTGTTAGATGGGAATCCGTTTGCGTTTGAGAGAGCCCTCCCCACTAACGCGGGAGTCGGGGATACAACATCTGGCATTGTGTCTGTGGCGATTCGAGATAGGGCGGCATGTGTAATGCCTGGAAAATACAGATTTAGTGTACTACTCTGAGATTGAGCGAGTGATTGCCTACCATTTCAATAAAACCTGTGGTAGGCATGATGGCTCGCCTTGGATCACATGTTGAGCCAGGTAAGGGTGCGTCTGCGAGTTCATACGAAGCGGAGAGTAATTCAACGGCCCGTTGAGAGGCTGACAAATTCTCTGCCTGGAAGAAGAATTTGGGTACAGGAAGAGCTTCTTGTGGGAAAAGGGGTAGGCGGGTAGTTTTGGGACGTCTGCTGCGGTGCATCCATTGAGAACATTGAAGTCGATGCAGCAATGTCCAGCAACCGCCAGCTTCCCCAATGCTTCGAGAAAAGAAACCACTTCCCCTTGATTGCCCTTAGGTCTCCGCAGAGGACAGACGACGGTGGCTGTCTCGCCCCGAGGGCCGAGAGTGACCAGATAACCAGCGAGAGCTGGGTGAGGTCCTATTTCCAAAAAGCTCGGAGTGCCAATGTCGTGAATCATACGCTGGATTGATCCTGTGAACTGCGCTGGGCCACGCGTGGTGGACCAGTAATATTCTGCGCTGAATCGGTCGTGTTTCAGCATACCGCGTTCGGTGGAATATGTTGGGATTTTAGGAGGCTGCGAGGCATAGCGATCGAATACTTATGTCTGCCACTATGCGCAGAAACTCGTCACGACAAGCGTCCATTAGTCTGGAATGCACAGGGATGGTGGTATTTAAGCCATATGGTTGATCGGTGACTTGTACTAGCAGTATCTGCAAGCACTGATGCGGACGTGTGATCCCTTTGGCCGCAGATATGAGCCGACTTATCTAACACGTGTCATGAATAACTGAGGGAAGACGAACACAGACGCAGAATATATGCAAGGTATACATCGAATAAATTCGAATAAATGAAATGAATGGTAATACTCGAAGCAAACACTGATCGGACATTGAAAATCCGTGCGGCATCTCGGGAAGTCGAACTGTAACCAAACATCCACCATACCCTAGGCCCTTACCACATCTCTCGCATTAATGCTCTCAGACCCAAGTCCCCAGGCCGAATTAGCGAGGTGAAGACACTAATGATTTCATTTGGAAGCCCTGACTCGAATGAGTGTCGCCAAAGTGGGAGTGTGAGAGGAGATGTGAAGTGAGAAACTTTGTCACTGTTCTTAACGTACGGTCCTGCTGCAGGTAGAGAAAGAAGCGTGAACTCAGCAGTGGGACACCACCAAACACGCGAGCCACGATGAACTCCAGATTCCCCAAGTACTTGGACCACTAGGTCGACAACATGATCCCAAAGCTCGCAGAGGATGCTGACAAGCTTGCTTTGACAATCAAAAGCACCAAATTGCTCTGCGAGGGACTGAAGCTCGGAGGAAAAGTCGGAGACTTCGGTCTGCGCGATATCGGGTGGAATGTGGACAGGATCTTGTACACTGAAGATAATCAAGGCGTCACAGCCATACTACTGGCCTGCATTGACGATAATGACAGGACCTTCTTCAGCGGCCTTCTGTAGGTCGGAGAAAAGGGGAGGCGGGAGAAAACGAACATCATTTCCTTCAGATGCGGAAGCGGCGAGTGTACCAGGAGGATTAATGGCAATGGCTTTGATATTGCCAGTGTCGCCCGTCCGGGAATCATGTTAATGTATCCCACTCCTGCTATGACGAGATGAGATGAGATTGATGTAATGGTGAAGAATGTTTTATAGCCGCAGGGTCGAGTGGGTATACTCGTGGCACCTGAATTCCAACTAGAGTGGATGTCCTTGCGATCCGCTTGAACGGGACCATAAGTGACACACGAAACTGTTGGTACTACCACACACCGAGCCTGGTCAACAATAACGGAGCTTGTTAGTTTGATGGGGGCGACAAGTCACTGGATTTGCAGAGACAGTCTTTGGAAATGTGGGATAGGACTTCAGTTGAAAAGTCCGAGTCATGGAAGCGTTTTAGCTCCGGATCGTGTCAGTGAGGAAATAAGGCTCGGGTAACCTCCTGGACAAACGAACATTCCGATGGTCCCCCCTGTGTATATCACCAATACTCTTGTTTCGTCCGAACCCGGTTCCGTCGTCCATTCGTTGTCGACCTAGGTAGATTTACTCTTATGCTCGTTTAGAGTGTTTCTGTCAGAAGAATAAGATTTTGAAGCATGTCTGCGTGTATTATAAATGTTGTACAAAGGTGGCGGTGGCTAGGTGATGTGCACCATAAATAAGCACGGTGCTCCGGCTTGACTATGTATTAGCGCTGTCTCGTGGAATTCAGTAAGTACTGATCAATGGTTCCCCTCGTTTTCGATTATAAACAGTGTCAGATCACAGATAGCTTACCGTAACGAGCTATGTCTCCCGCGACGCCGACTGTCATTGAGGAAGCTATGTCTTCTGATTCTGAATCCCCTGCGATGCCAATTCCAAAGCACCAATTTGAGGGCCATCAGAATGCTGTCCAGGATTTCGTCTTCTTGCATGACAACGTCCACATCGTGAGTGGTTCGTGGGACGGCACGATGCGCAAGTGGAACTGCGACACAGGACTTCTTGTCGGGGAACCCTGGAAAAGTGAGGGCGGAACCATATGGGCAATGGCACTTTCACCGGACGGAGAGATAATTGCATGTGGGAGGGAAGACGGAAGCGTTCAGCGATGGAAGACCGACGGAACGATGATTGAAGGCGTTTGGACAGGTCACAACGGGGGAGTAAGGTCACTGTCGTGGTCTCCTATCGGAGACCATATTGCAAGCGGGTCCAATGATGGAACAATCTTAATTCGAAAGGCAAATAGCGGAGACATCGAGGTGGGCCCAATCAAGATGGAGTGTGGCAAAGTGGGCGCTCTTGTGTATTCACCTTCGGGTGACAGAATCGCATCAGGCGGGACAAGCACGATTTGTATCTGGGACACAAAAACAGGCGAGCTCGTTGCCAGCCCCGTCAACGAAGGGTCTTATGTGGTGTCGTCTACGCTGGTGTGGTCGCAGGACAGCGCAAAACTTTATGCCCCCTTGAGCAATTTCACACGTGTTTTCGACATTAATAACGCAGGCATAGAACTTCCTCACTTCCAACTCCAGCATGATAATTTGGTAATTTCTGCCGCCCTTTCACCCAAACACAATGTATTGGCCTGTGTCGGCGATTCGGGCGTTGCACAGCTATGGGACACAGAAGAGATTGAATCCTATCTATCACCCGGCCAGCCATGCAGCCAGGAGGATTACAACACGATCGCAGAACACTGTCGCCTCGAGCACACATATGACCTGTATTCCGTCGCACTTTCACATACACACAATGCACAGGTGTGCATGAGCTGTGGAGGTATGTCTATTCAGCCAATCGACCAGCCGTTCGACCTTGAGGATGACAACTCCCTTACCGAACGCCATCGCTTCCACAACCTGGATTCCGTCGCACTTTCACCCAAACAAAATCTGCTGGCGTGTGCGGACGACGACAGTATTGCAAAGCTATGGGATCCACTATTCCGTCAACCACAACCACTCGGCCAGCCATTCAGTCAACAATTCAGCCAGCCGTTCAGCCAGGATGATAGAAAAACCCTTCTGTGTGTATCATTCTCTCAGGATGGGAGATACATCGCATATGGCGGATACGACAACAAAGTCACTTTGTGGATGGTGAATGAGATAGCCCCGGAGCTTCCGGTACGTGCTATCACAACCATACTTCAAGGTGACAAGCTGCACATTAGCAATCCCGATCTCAGGCACCACCACCGTCTTGCCTTGAAGTCAGTACCTTGCATTGAACCACGCCCCTTCTCTTGCTCACAAAACTATTGCAGGCCGATGCTACACAATTTCTCACAGAGGAGGGGGGAGATGATCCATACAGCGACTTTTTCCAGGTAATTCTCGTCCTTTGTTGCGTACAAAGGGCATCAGTATTGATGATGAGAACTTGTAGTCGTCCCAGCCATATCGTCCTTCTGCACCATCTGGTCCATCTCGTCGTTTCCAGGGTCTCTACCCATCCTCTGCTCGCCGCCTCTGGAACCTCCTCATCCCTTCTCGACATCGCCTGACAGCAAGTGGGTCCATTGGGCTGCAACAACGCCCAAAGCGCAGTCACACGAGCCCGCAGCCCGTAACAGTCTCTGCCGGAAGAAAAACAAAGGTAAGCAGTGTATCACATGTCCCTTGTTCTGCTATGTACTTAACTGAATCTGGAGAGGGTCTACATAGCGCGCCCCCCTGCGAAGAATGATGCTCAGGCTAGTCAATCGTCCTCATCGACAGCTCAGCCTGTGGCGCAGCCACACCCGACGCCACAGCCACAATCTCACCATCAGGTACAGACGGCAACACAACAACCTCAAGAAGAAGACTATGGTTGCTGGGGCAATTTTTGCCTCGCACTCTGGTGCATCCCACGTCGCACTCGTCCGGCTGTCTCCGCTGCTCAGCCTGCTGCCTCGTGATGTAACTTTTTCTGTCACTTCCTGTCCTGTATCTCCATCTATGTGCAATTTCTTTGGATACGCGATTTTCGCTTACTCTCTTGCTTGGTTGTAACATGTTATTTTTGTATGGGCACCAGGGCAGTCTGGAGCAGTCCCTCCGTTGGTGTGCCAGGGGTCCTGGAGGCGCAGTGGCTGGAGTCCAGGTTTGTTACAGTTGTGATAGAATATATTCTAGAACATCGCCTCCCGCCTTCAAGCTTCAAGTTGGCTTTCCCTTGCAGCCCATGCCCAGTCCAACGGTATCTCGTTGACACTTCATTCCAACTGTTAGTAAGCAACATGTTCGACATTCGAATTCCGAAAGTATCAGCGCTACTCATGTCTGATGTGTCCCCCAAGAGTACTTGACCTGCTCGCCTTCCTCAGCATTCCAAATTATGTTTGAGCCCTCTAGATTTCTGTCTCCAGTAGTCGAGGACTCGTGGATCTTTGATGGTCTAACTTCTCTTCTCTCGAACAGGCCGCGTACCCCAGGCTAACTTTTGGCAATGCGGGTGACACGAAGTGCCGATATGTCTGCATCACGGTACACAGGGCTGCACGAGGCTTCGAACTGCGAAGCCGCTCACACACATGATATCTGAACTCAGATAAATTTCACAGTGAATTGTACGTGAAATTGGGCATAGGGCTCCGGTTTAGAAGATCTGCCCTGTTCAGAACTTAGGAGATGCGCGACATGCGTTTGCCACTCTATCTTGGCACAATCAATCGCCACATGAGTCACACACGCCTTGATCTGCACCTCCAACCTTGGTATGTGACATTTGAACTATGAAGCAGCTGCTGCGCTGCATGCCCTTTGCATATAAACTTCAACCAGATTCCAGAACGCGAACTTCCAAGCTCCAGATTACTACTATGCTTCCACGGGAACCGTACAAGGGCTTAACGCGAAAGCTAGTGCTTGCATTTGATGTCGGGACCACGTTCAGTGGAGTCTCGTATTGTATGCTGGACCCAGGGGAAGTGCCTGTAATTCGAGGAGTTGCAAGGTCAGTAGCCAACTCAACCACCATGTCTCTTGCTCATGGTGGGATTGCAGATATCCTGCGCAAGAGCATGTCGGAGGTGACTCCAAAATACCATCAATTCTCTACTATGATCTTCAGGGAGACGTCCGCGCCGTGGGTGCTGAGGCTCTACGACAGAATATCATCGAACAGGCAGAAGACGAGGGATGGGTGAAACTTGAATGGTATGTATATCGTCGAGGATAAAGTGTGGGCTATATATTGATCTCGTTCAGGTGGAAACTTCATCTTCGCGCTAAGCATCTGGCATCGTCTCATATACGGGAGGATGATATACCACCTCTCCCACGAGGCAAATCCGCAGTAGAAGTCCTCGCCGATTTCATGCGCTACCTCTTCCAATGTGCTCGAACTTACATTCAGGAATCACATTTGAATTCCTGGAGTTCGGTCGAGAACTCCATTGAGTTCGTGCTCACACATCCGAACGGGTGGGAAGGCCAACAACAACAACAGATTAGACGCGCTGTCGAGATCGCTGGTCTCATTTCATCTAAGGAGGAGCAATCTCATGTGCACCTCTTGACTGAGGGCGAAGCGAGTCTTCATTTCTGTGTTACCAACGTGATTGCATCGGATATATTCTCTAAAACCCCTATAGATGTATCAGATTACTCAGACGAGGAGGAAGATCAATCCGACAGCCAGGGAGTCATTGTTGTTGATGCCGGAGGCGGAACTATCGATCTCAGCGCCTACTCGATGAAGTTATCTCCGACTTCGTTCGAGGAGATTGCCCCAGCTGAATGTGAATCCCGCTTTCCTGCATCGTTAACTTGTCTCCATGCTGAAGTCTACGCAGGTTGCCTGCAGGGCTCAGTCTTTGTTACCCGTCGCGCTCATACTCTCTTACAAGGTCAGTGAATCAATCAGTCATGCACGTAACCGAAAACTCATGGTCATGTGGTTGCCCAGAGAAACTTTCAGGTTCGAACTACTCCAACCCTGATATCATCAAGCAAATGACGAGAATCTTCGACGCGAGCACAAAGCTTCGGTTCCGTAATCCTGATGAACCGTCTTACATCAAGTTTGGCACCATCCGTGACAAGGATCTGACGTACGGCATTCGATCAGGGCAATTGAAATTGGCCGGGTTCGTCCATATTCTCTAGGATGCATTCCTCATGTCACTCATGTTTATTGTAATACAGCCAGGACGTCGCGGATTTGTTTGAACCATCCATTGAAGCTATCATCGAGGCTTTTGAGCAGCAGAGACGTGTGGCGTCGACTCCAATCAATGTGAGCATTATATTTCGCTCAACATACTAGGCAGATTGTGACATTGTCGTGGAGTTGGTTTGGTTGGTTGGCGGTTTCGCTGCCAGCGACTGGCTGTTTGCAAAACTCCAGGAATATTTTATCCCTCTAGGCATCCGCTTTTGTCGCCCTGATGCCCATGTGTAAGCCCTCGAATATTGACGTGACTACTTTTACTCATCACGTAACCGCAGAAACAAGGCTGTTGCTGATGGGGCCGTTTCGTTCTACATTGACCACCTAGTGTCCTCTCGAGTCGCACGCGCCACGTATGGCGTTGAATGCCACAGTCAGTACGATTTTCAAGATCCTGAACACCAGGCCCGGCAACACACCATATTCGCCGATATCACCGGTTCGCTGCGTGTCCCCAGTGTTTTTCAGAGTATTTTGCTGAAGGTGAAAGAGGTTCACTCATTTGGTACATATTAATCTGTCTTATAGGGAACTCAAGTATCTGAGCTTTGTGAATTCCGAAAGCCTTTCTATATTACACCAACGTCACTCGCTGCATGCGAAAGTCATAGCACGGATATCATGTGCTACAAGGGTGCCCTCCAGGAGCCGCGGTGGTTAGACGTTGAACGGTGTACTATTAATAACTCCCAGTTCGAGCACCCATGCTGACTTTATTCAATTCAGCCTCATTTTCCACGCTATGCACAATTCATGCCGACCTCCGCGAGCTATCCCGAACACTCCGTCCTCAAAGATCAGCTATAAATCAATCAGAGTATTATAAGATTGAATTTGACGTCGTCATTTTATTTGGCCACACAGAACTGAAAGCGCAGATCAGTTGGAAGGAAAAGGTTCGCGACTCGTTTTTATTGATTTACTTCCTAGCTGATCGAGAACGTTGCAAAGGGAATTGAAATGCGGTGAGCCCAACTCACAGTCTTATGATTAATTTTAACTTCGTCGCCTTAATCCATTATAGGAGCCCAGCAGCTATAGTGTACGACGAGTAGTGTCAAGACCGAATCGCAGCTTTTTGCACATACTGCAGCTGCAGAAGAGTGTTAGCATCATGTAGGACAGTCGTGCTATCTGAATCATCTGTATCCATGTTACCTCAAATATTACCGAGCTTCCTATACACCAACGAACAGCATAACTTAAGTCGAGCAGAACTTGTTGAGGCGGTCCAAGGTATTCACCGCACCTTCAAAAATCTACACTTTGCCTTGGTCAAGACGGCAACGGAGACTATGACTCTAGTATAGATAGAGATATATGGGAGGAGCGGAATTATATTCTTATATAGTTCACACGGTTACAATCTCAAGGACTCTTGAATTCACTGATAGACTCGGTTCTCTGATGTTCGCGTTGAGCTTCTCAGGCCGTCTGATGCGGGTGCAGAGTACTTGTCTTCACAAGGTGGGCTTTCCCATCCCATTGATGTCATACGTTAGACTAACATTGAAAATAGAGGGTAGCAAATAACTTCAACATTCAGCTGCTGAACGGTGAGGCACATAAAGATATCGTGTGGTACTACCGCATGCCGTGTCTTGAGTGTAGTCAGATGGCAGGTTATAATTATGTCACTTTCCATGATGAAAGGTTGATATGTGGGTTGATGGCGAGAAACAAGAATGATTTTTTGGGGTGGTTAGTGCATGTAGAGGCGCCCGTTCTTTATTTTTGTTCAAAGGGGAGATACGAATGCAAATAGTTTTGCAATTGTGACTGTAGTGCTATGCACACTATGTAAAATTATACCGTGAAGGCTGTGACGGCGTGATGAGCGAGAAAGACATTCCTGAGTCCATATGACCCGCCACCATCTTATTGAATACTGTGAAGGAGTAAAATGGCAACATCGCACACCAAATATAGCTAGAAAAACAAACAGTCAGTGTAGTTCCAACGGTCACACCGACGCACCCAGGAACAGACATGCAAGCATCAGCACCAGCATTAGTGTAGAAGTTGAAAATCTGCTGATGTCAAATTGTGGACGTGATGACGACTTTATGGACTGACAACACAGGTAAGGATTGAACCGACAAGTGTACAGTGTTTCTCGAGTCGTTGAAGAGTGAACGAATCCCAGGGTGTTTAAATTTGACACTGTAAAAAAAAGTCGCGTTAGGAAATGCGGTCAAGAAAACGACAAAGCTTTCGGAACCGCGTGATCTGGAGGCTCTGCGTTCTCTGATCGTGGCCGGGGTCGGAGTTCGAATCACAGAGGCGGGATCACACTTTGCGCTTCAAAGACAGGCCACCGTCGGATCACGGTTTTTCGACAAAGCTTCCTGCGTGATCTGGAGGCTCTGCGCTCTCAAATCTTGATCGTTAGGCGGTGTTTAGTAGTCCCGGGCGTCGTGGTAGTAATTGGCTCGCACGAGATTCGACAGCATTCCGTACCTGGCAGGCTACACTACAAACAACGGATGAAGAACTCGACTCCGTCACTCCAATCAGCATCGACCATGATGGATTTAGTGTGGTACGTTTTGCATCGGATTTCATTGGGTTAAGTGTTGAAGGTGCGCGCTGCCAGCGGCTAGGTTGAAGAACAAGTCAGGATTCATGCAGTCATTAACGGTGCTTCCCACTCTTCTTTCCACCATGTCACTATCTTAAGCTGGAGATGGTGTTGTATCTACATCAGATATCAATCACGGAATCTCAACTATGATGTCTCTGGCTGCCTGTCACCACTCCACCAACTCCACGGTGCAAATCGAAAATTCTGCACCCACCATGACAGCATGTGAGAATAGTATTGGAAACAAGGTGATGAAATCACGAACATTTCTATGTATATGTTCTTTCATCTTTTGCGGTGTTCAAGTTCCGCCTTTGCAAATGTGTTATGACCAACTTGTTCTACGTACGTTGAGTCTCGCATCTTTAAATCATTATTTGTTCCCTGTACATGTTGACAACACTGGCTATTAGAATGGAAATAAACGATATCAGAGATCTACTAGTACCTGTAGTGAACGACTCCGATAGAAGGGAAGACAGTGCCGCACCAACACTAACTGATTCTGCCATTGGTGCGGTGACCTGTGGGATCGAATTTTTAGTATCCAATAACTTTCGCATCACCGGTATGCTATTCAAGTCCTGATGCATCACTTCATGATATCATTTCCATTGACAGGAACGGATATCTATATCATCCCTCGATCTCATGTCGGTCATACAAGCACTGGATGGTGGTATATCTAGCACGAATATCATCGTTGTATGTCCACCACGTTCCCCCTCCCTCGCATCCATCCTCTAACAGCATGACCCTGATCTCAGACGACCCTAGTTATTGGCCACTCATCAACTCTGGGCGTATTGGGAGCTATTTTGAAGGTTCGTGAAGAGCAGTCACATTTCGGCGCTGATGAATCGATCTGACCTTGATTGTGGTTTTCCAGTTGCCGCTGGTGTTGCAGTGGTGTATGATTGGGGTGAGCATGATAACATCAGAGAATTGCTGATTTTCTACATGTATTTCCAGCCCTTACGTTCGGGCAAGAGGTATGCTGATGCTATGACCGGAGCAGCCATCTCACTAAGATTTGTTTGTAGGTTGAACTGGTCTGGGTGAGCACGGTTCCACGCCAGAAGAACAATATTGATTTGCGACAGAGACAACATTGGTCCCTGATGACCATTCTCTATCTGAGTGTACGTGGCTTGCCTGCTGTGAATTTGTGCTGGCTTGACAATATCCTAGCTGCGCTATCTTGGATTGTTATTTGTCATGTATGTTCAGAAAGCCAAACAATTGGTGTCGTGCTGATCTGCTATCTCTCACACTCAGCCTGAACATACTGGGTATGTCTTCTTGCATTCGCCGTGTTTGTTTTTTATGACCAGTTGCATACAGTCGATCTTCCAACAATCTTGTTGACAGATGCAGTGAGTCTTCTGCACCGATGCCAGTGCCTGCTAGTCCCATTCAGTTAACCGCGATACCCTGTAGGGGTGAGTGTCATTCTTGACCAGCTTCTTTGTTTACTATCATGACTGCTACAGATGTGGGTTTGTTTGTATTGTGTGATTCACCAAAGGCCCATCACTTACCGGATTTCTCAGGCCGGATTCTGTACCTCGTGTGGGATTGGACGAATGTTGTGGCATTTCCAATGCTGTGTGGTGAGTTGTGCGTTTGCAAGACCTATGATATTGAATTGACCGAAACATGTTGCAGTCATCATGATCACTCGGTTACATGCCATGTATCAACGATCCACAAGGATCCTGATATTTCTCGTCGTCGTGTGTTTGGCTGTCAACATTGTCGACTTAGTGGTCATGGCAATGGAAACGACGCAAACTTCAGGAGGTACGCTTAATTGTGAATGAAAAGCGTGCATGGCGCTCATTGATGAATGCAAGAGGAACTCATTCTCTCTGGCACATATTCGTGCACGATTGGCAATGGGGACAATGCCCCACTTCTGTTTTCCATTACTTGGATACTCGGCACTGTCTGGGAGGTCCTCACGCTGTGTCTCGCAGTCTGGATTGCTGTAAAACACTTCCGTGAACTGCGACAGTATTCGGCAGGAGGGATTATGGGCGACTGTTTCACGGTGTTGATAAAATCCCACGTGTTTTACTTTGCGAGGTGAGCTCATATTGTGAATGTGGTTCCCTTTTCCGCTAAATGATTGAACGTGCTAGTTATGTTGCCGTGTCTTGCTTCAGCCTCATTGTTAATTTGTCTCCAACACTCTTGACGGTATGTCAATCTTTCACTGACCTCTGCATGCGACCGCGGTTCATCATTTCTATAGAACCCATTTTCCCTGGAAAATCAGATTTTAATTGGTGTTGGTCAGATTTTGGGACCCATACAGTCCTTTGTGTTGGGACCACGCCTCGTCCTAAGCGTTCGAGAATATAACGCTCGGCTCGTGGCTGACTCTGATGCAGCAACAGCCATGACCTCGATCGCTTTCCAAGAGCGCGTGCATATATCGACTGGCAGTAGCGTGTAGCATGGGAGATGCTCGATGAAGTTAACGGTGGTCTGGTGCTCTGCAGGGAGCAGGAGAATTGTATTTTTTCTTCATTTACAAGTTTCGTCGTGGTACTTATTTATTTGTAGTTGCAGAGTGGATTTCAAGGAAACATGGGTATTGGCACATATGCTGTGTAATATGTATTTAAGTTATTTGTTTCGAAGAGCATTGAAAGAGACAGGACAAGGTGTTGAGTCAGACCTAGGCCAACTCTAGGCCATTACTATATCTTTCGCATTTACGTTCGCAGACTCAAGTCCCAGTCAGCGGGGCGAAGACGCTGTTGATTTCATTTGGAAGCCCTGACTGGCGTTTCTTAGTCAGATCCTTGTGCACGGAACGAGAAGTTGTAAATTGAATTTGCGAGGCTGCCAATAGGGAAAGGGGCTGTCATGCATGAGGATCTGGCAATGCAAGGAGCGACCACGAAGGTTCCATCATACGGAGCTTCTTCGCACGTCGAGAACATGCATTCTCCTCTTCGTCAAAGGAGACGGATAGGGAAGTCATGACATGTGTCCCTTGTGGGATATAGGGTGCTCAATGGGCGTAGCTGCTTTTATTGCACTCGAGGGTTGTATGGAGGTGACTTTGGTGGGGAGCTCTCAGGTTGTCGACTTCTCTCCACCCTCCTCGCCTCTTCAGCATCATCTTGGTCTGTTGCACTGACCTGCACCGTGGGCTTAGGCACCCCGGCCGACATCAACTCGATACTCTTGTGGCTCCGTAAGTTTGGGCGCGAGATGAGTGGGTATGTTCTACTTTTATCGTCTGGCCTACTGCTGACATCGCGCCATCTTCAGGGCATCGGTGGTCGCTGTCGCCCATGGTTGGGACCTAGTGGATGGCTCGGTGCGTGAGACGTGGGCACTGCTTTTGAAACCGAGGATGCTCGGCACTGGGTAGCTCAGTCTCCCGCTGGGTTGTGGCTGCAGGTGTTGCTAATGTTCCATCCCGTTCGCCCCTCAGTGCCCGCTGGGTCCAGGTGTGGCATCGTTACGAGTCTGCTTCCTCGCCAAGAAGCTCAAGGGGGCATAGGTTATCAGCGTGAGTAAGCCCACCCCAGTTTCAAACGCCAACAAATTAGCGACAAAAGACACATTCTGGACAAGAGGCGAAAGACTATCGCAACCCAGGTCCTGGAGAAAGGTAAGTACCCTCGATTTACTAACTTTCTTGATTGTCCTCGAGACTTTGGGGATACAAGCGTAGCAAGTCGATCTTTAAAACAATTTTTGGATCCCTGAGCCCGGTGCCTCGAGAAGGTGTCGACTTCACCTCAGAAGATCACTGATCTCAAGCGCATGCATTAGAAACCATGTGTGTTTTTCATTCGCATACAGTAGCATGGGTTACAGTAATTCGTCAACTCCACTCCAAGCTAACAGAAGGATGATAATCAGAGGGGGCGCTGAGAGGGCCTAAGGGGTGATGAAAGGACGAAAGGATGGAAAAACGGGTATAGAGCGCCGAGACAATCTGGGGCACATATTCTTCCAGGGCGACCATGTGTCGGGGTCAAGGATTGGGGAGAAGAAGAAGTCCGTGACTCAGATGGTGTGCTCGAAGCTCCAGGGCGCAAAGTGTGAGGAGAAGAAGGTTCTGTACTTGAACCAACCCTCCAGTATTTCGAGCGTGGTCGCTTTCGATTCAGAGCACACGGACAGGCCATGATCGAATAATGAGGTTCACAACGTAAGTGATTCATTGGACGGCACGATGCGCAAGTGACACGGTATTTCTCGTTAGAGAACCATGGACAGGCGAGGGCGGAAGGATATGCGCAATGGCACTTTTACTGGACGGAAAGAAAACTGTGTGTGGGAGGGAAGACAGAAGCGTTCAACGATGGAAGACCGACGGATAGATCGTAGTTGGAACATGCGGTCACTGTCGTGGTCTCCCAGTGGAAACAATATTGCAAGTGGGTCCAATGATGGAACAATCTTCGTTCGAAAAGCAGAAAGCAGAGAAATCGAGGTGGGCCCAATCAAGATGGAGCAGCAATGTGTGTCTTGCACATTCACTGTCAGGTGACAGAATAGCAACAGGCGGATGTCAAACGATCTAAGACAGGCGAGCTCGTTGTCGGTCCCATCGAAGACTGGGAGAACACTGTGTGGTCGTCGGCCAACACGACTACCTCGAACAAATTCGCACGTTGTTTTCGACAGTACTCACGTGTTCGTAAGGGTTCACAAATACTTAGTAGAAATGTTGAAAATTCATTGAAATCACTTTCGAGTTTTATATTATCTTTTGAGATATGGGAAATCCGTCTGGTCGTTGTCAATGATTTCTATAACTTGGGTTTATGGAAGACAGGACTGCCGCGCTCCGTTACATAGCGTGACCACACTCATATTAGGCAGGTGTGATGCAGGGACTCCGTGCACCTCTGGCAGCTTTGTTTCTTCTAATAAATATGTGAACAAGTGCGGCCAAGTGTCATTCAACTGGACAACAAAAACAGTAACCCAAAACGACAAACTCGTAGTACAGTAAGTAGTCACCAATCAAATGTTTCATCATTGTCCTCCTCATCAGAGAATCCTGCAATAACTAATGCCTCCTCCTCTATGATTGGAGCTGTAGGCAGTAAGTGTGCGCCTGGTTCGTCCAACTCAGCCAGTTCATCCAGCCGGTGATGATCAGATGCATCTAATGTGCGGTAATTTAGCACAAACTTTATTCAAACTGAGAAAACGTACCTAGACCTTGTCCGCCATGAATGCCACCCATATAGTAAGCACCATCAGTATCCTCATGAAAAAAAAGGTCGTTTTGGTTTTCGAGGAGAGGCAAAGGCTCTTCGTCTGGGTCAGTGCCCGCTGTAAGAGACCTGACAATGGCTGGCACCTGCACAGAGCGCTGCATCGAATCATACAAATCTAAGTAGATCGTCCACACGGACTGGCGAGTGATTGGAGGACGGCCTAGGTCTTCATAACAGCCTTGAATGAAGTTGTTGAGGGGTCGGGGAACCAAATCGAAGACCGGATGATCAGGGTTCACATAGAGACGGCGGACATAGTCTATATCATCTTGTTTGACCGTTACCTAGAATGATAAGCCGGTTAGGGTGACAAACACGGACCATGGTTCAAGTAGTAT